GTGGTGTAAGATGAGTGGTGTCAGATGGGTGGTGTAAGATGAGTGGTGTAAGATGAGTGGTGTAAGATGGGTGGTGTATGATGGGTGGTGTAAGATGAGTAGTGTGATGAGTGGCGGGCGGCGGAGGCGGAGGCGGCGGAGGCGGCGGAGGCGGTGGAGGCGGCGGGCGCGGAGCGGCGGGTGCAGAGCGAAAAACAAGAACCCCACATAGTGATGTGGGGAAGACAAAAACACCAAACCTGTCGGCCCGGCCCCATCACTGTGGTTCTTCGGTTTTTTAATCTTCGGACCGGACCCTGTGCTTGCCAACTTTCTGCTATGGATTCCTGGATGGAGTGGCTTGCAGGATGAACGTGTCTGCCCTTCAGCCCATGGAACATAAATAGAAGCTTCGTGTGGGCTCATATTTCAGAACTTGCATGCTTCGAGCCTTTTTAGGGCCTCCTCCCGAGTCTCCGTCTGGACCTCCTGCCAAAACCAGCGCTACATGGCCAGAAAAAGGCATGACCAGTCTCCGTCGGCCTCCAGTGTCCCAGACTTGCAGCTTCACCGTCCGCCCCTCGATACCTAAGAAAAGCGAATCGGAGGGATAGAGGTGAATCGGAGGGAAGAAGCGGATGGTCGACCAGGCTTTGCACGTGATGTCAGGTGTCCCTGTTTTCAAACCAATGTTCATCATGAAAACGTCAATTTTCATGCATCAAGTTACGTTGAACCCAGATCCCCCAATGTTGAGTGTCCGTATTGAGAGCGCTCCCTTCTTGACTGACACTGATGGCGGTATAAACTGTTGGAAAAGCCGGAAACCAGCAGATGCTGCCACCAGCAGCGTAGGAAAATCATCAAGCAACTGGAACCTCTGGATCCAGGCGGTTGTCAGCCTGTTCCAGCTCAACCCCCTGAGTCATCAAACGATAAGAAGCCCCTCAACTCTCTTGGTTTCTAGCCAGAAATTGGTAGCCAAACAGGATTTGAATGTACTTGAAACATGCGACATAAATGAGCTGACCCAGTTCTCATGGTGGTTCTATATACTGTTTAGGTTTATATAGTTCTATTCTAATCGATTCTATCTACAATGTGTATGTGTATGTAATATAATGTGTATATATATATATTATATATATACACAGATACACACACTGTGACACACACATACACTGTACTGCTTAAAGTCTTCACCACCCGCCAGTCCGCAACAAAGTGCTCAAAGTCTTCACCTGGGACAGATGTCACCCGTCGAGGAGAGGATTGGCCCTTCCTGGTGGTGGAGAAGGGCCCGATGGCTGTGTCTTGGGCAATGTCCCATGACCAGCAACAGTAGATTGTAGATGATGATGACGATGATGACGATGACTAGTACATAGTGGCATTATGTGGTTCGCTTGCTCTTTTGCTCAGTCTTCTACCGACTGTTACGGGTTTACTGGGACACACTGCTGTCTTTCTTGTGTCTTTGAATTCTCCTTCGGACGGAAAGAAACACCCCAAAACAGCGGAAAGTGCAAGCCAACTCATCCGATCCAGGGAATCCTCACTGAGGTCGCATCCATTTCCCTTGCACTGGACCCGGTGTGTTGGCTGCAGATCCTGGATAGTTGTGTAGGGTAGTCCAGCCAGGACACCCAGACCGAATGGTCCTGGTAAGTATGTTTCATATTTATATACTTATATATATATAATATACACATATATACACTAGATATTCACTGGCCAGTGAACCTCTTGGATCATTTTGGATATCCCTTCAAAACATACGTCCTGGAAGATTGACATGGCACCTGAAAACCACTGGGTTGTAGAGGAATATGTTCTTCCAAAGATCCATTCTCAGGTTCCATATTAATTTTCCCAGGTGTACTCTGTCATTCCTTCCGCGCCTGGAAGTCCACGCCGATGGTGCTCTGATAGCTCTCTGAGAAGGTACCCTTCACATAGCGCGCCAACAGGGAGGTCTTTCCCACGTCCGCGTCGCCCGCGAGGACAATCTTGAAGAGGAGGTCGTAGTCACCTGTCGCGCTGTCTTTTTTGGAAGAAAACACAAAGAAGCAGTTGGGGTTCTATCATAGTCTGGGGGTGGAACCCGCGGTTGACGACCCAGATGAATGCAATTGTTTTTGGCTTTTGGGACATCCGGTGCTCCTGAAATGTCTACCCTGCAAGGGAGCACCAATTTGCTGTTTTAGGGTCCTGGAGGATTGAACATCGAAAGATTTGGAGCAACCATCATATGGCCCTGGGTCAAAATACCTGGAAGGTCTTTCGCTAGATAGCAGACTGGTCGGGCTACATCCATTTCTGATGTCCTATGTGTAATCAGCTGGATTCCGATCCTTGTGTTTTTCTTAAGCTTCATCACTTCCCATCGACCGTACGCGGCGTGGCTCCATCAGCTTTAAGCTTTCCATGCGCTTTCTGGGCCCTGATGGCATCTCTTTGCGACTGATTCTGTCATTATATTGATTCATTGCTCATCACTGCTGCATGTGTTTTTTTTTAACAAAAAATGATGGTCTGAGAAATCCATCAAAAAATCCATCCCGGTGTCCCCCGAACTCCCCGATCGCCTCTGCTCATGTCGCCCGGCCTCGAAGAAGAAAGGATTTGGCATCACCGGGTCGCGGATGGGCTGTTAACAGGCTTTATCTACAAGTAGTAAGACCCGAACCAAGGGGGGTTGCTATCTGTAAGAGCTCCATATTGAAAGATACGCACCCAAGTTAGTGGCTCGCAGGCTGTTCCAGCGCCCAACCCGCGGCGCTTCAGCCGTACCATCTCTGTGGGTCTGGTGCACCTGTTCCAACCGACCTCGACTCCGTCCAACCAGTCCCGGTCGCACCGGTCCGACCCCTCGAACCCCGACCTCGAGAGGAACACCGCCGGAGGGGGTGGTGATGTGAACCTCATGGTGTCGGAAGCGGAGGTGGACATGGCGAACAGAAGCCAACCGATGCGGGCTGCGGTCGGCGGGAAGAACTGAAGGCGTGGCTGGACACAGGAACTGATGAGATGTATGTCAATGATTGCTGCCTTGTTGAGTGGCTGGACACAGGGCGCGCCAAAACAAAGCCCCAGTTCGTCTGCTTGAGGGAGCACGTGCATAGCTAAAGACTAGACTACAGACTATAAGATCTCTAGCTAGGATGCGGATTCCAAAGTTGCCGTAGCCGACCCCGTCGCCGACCCCGTTGACTTCCGTCATCCAACCAGTCGCCGGGAACCACCTGAGTCTCATTAACTGTGTACCAGTCGCCGGGAACCCCTCAAACCAACACGTTCAAACACATGTTCAGACTTATCAAATGGTCCAAACCAATGGCTCCGGACTCATTCCCAGCCTTTCTCCAGTAAATCCCCAAGTATGCCCTCGGCCCCAAAACCGCCCGAAACCCACATCCCCTCGCCGGAGCTGCCTTCGGATTGGTGCCCGTTCCGAATGACGACCCTCTCAGAGATGTCATTTACCAGCATGATGGTGAAAAAAGTGTGTTTTGAGTAAATGTGCCACACTGCAACGAAATACTATGGTTCTTGAGACAGCTATCGAAGCTGTTACAGTAACTGGCATGATTGAAGAAAAACGGACAGTGATGTGGATGTGTCTATCAATCCTACAGTACGTGGCAAATGAAGAAAGCCTCCTTGAGGTTCTCCAGTTCTCATCTGCGCTTTTATATGTTGGCTCCACAATGGCTGCGGCCAGGAGTGACACACGAAACATTATGCCATCATTCCTTTGACGATCTTTGACGTCACTCTGAAACGCAGGATGCCTTCCGCCATTCCCTGCGTCCTCGTCTGGTGCTCCACCCTTTTCTGAGGGAAAAATCTCCAAGCAGTGGACACTTGGCCTGGTGAAAACCAGGTCGCAACCAGAAACAAATGGATGTTCCCACAAACAATCACTTGGATTTGTTGTGGAGCATCTCAATCCCATATTGCAACAACAATGTGTTTCTCCAACTTCTAGAGGGGATATGTGTCAGAATAGGGAGACCGCCAGATCAGTCCAGTTCAACGCTCTTTCCAGAAGGAAAACCAACATCATTGCTGCGGGGGTCTCCCCTGGGACACAATATACATCCAAATGAATAACAATGAAGTGGACAACGGCCTGCGCTTGCAACATGATCCTAACATATCCTAACAGACATGAACTGCTTGACGTGTCGCCAGCTGCACAAGCACCGCTGCACAAATTGCCATGCCATGGCCATAGGATGCTATCATGCACTCATCTGGTTGTGCTACCCCTCCAAATGTGCCAAAATGCACCATCATGCACAATCACATGAGTCGAGGTCTCATCCATCTTCTTTCATCGCAGGGCTTCTCGAAGTCCCACCCTTAGTCAGGTATCCCCTTGGAACTCATCAGTCTTGGCAATTCTTGGCAGTGCGTTCTCAAGGGCACCGCGAGACGCGCCAACGACGGGATCTCTCGCGACCCACGCGAGAGGTCAGCGCACCTGCGCGTCCAATTCGGCCTTCTTGGTTCGAGCCTTCTGCAGTTCCTGGGAGGAATCGCGCAGAGAAAGAAACACGGTCTGGATGATGGCGTTGTGATTTTGTTTGCAGCATTCAGGTATGAAAACATGACTTCGGAGAACGATTCGGTGGTGAACTGGTGAACAGATAAAGCAAAGCCTTGTACCTCTACTAATTACCTTGTACTCTACCTGTGACCTTGTGCTGACTGTAGAGGGGCTCATCCTCCTCCTAGCTTGTACGGACTAGTACCTCCTATACCTTGTTTCAATACACTACCCTGTCACGGTCCCACACTACCCCAGCCCCGAAGTTCCACATGTCGCATAATCATAATCGTCCCATGTTTAGGGAACAAGAAGTCTTCCCTTCTGATTCATGTCTCCTTGGCCTCGCAAAACCGAAGTGCTTCCCTATATATAGCATTATATATTGTATATCGATCTCTGACGCTCCTCTGTCACCTTACGCCTCCACGCCCGACCTCGCTTCCCACCACCCTCAAAAGACCCCGCGACCGGCCCCTATCCTGGTCCATCGAGGCGAAGAAGGACTGCACCCGCTTCGACTCGTCGGTCGCCTGGCAGAGCTGCTTCTCATCCGCCTGGCCGTCGGCGCTGCGGTCTCTCGGCCGGGCGTTTGGACCCGTCCAACCCATGGGTCGGGGTACTCTCCGAGTCGCGGAAGCACGGAACGGAGCTGGGCCGGAGAAGACCATAAGAGATGGGGGGATTTGATAGGAATTTGGCCCTGCTCACTGAGACAACCATGGGGAATGCATTCTGTTCTATGCCGTACCCGCCGCCGACCGGTCCGGACGGGCTTTTCAGTGCAAGGCGAAGAACTCTTTTCATTGATGATGTGTGTTGACCAAAGGTTGTGGATGTCGAAGAACCTGTTCGAAGACAACTTCTCTTTTTTTGGTTTTGTGGTTTCCCTACTCGTTCGTATCATAATCCATCATAATCCACTCTGGACACAGCATTGGGAACAAATGAAACCTGTCCGATTGGGTCATAGTACCTTAGCACGATTCTTCGCCTGTCTCCACAAATCGGGAAAGCAATGGAGGTGATTGTTCAAGGATTTTCTTGATTAGTATAACGATGGTCTACGAAAGTTGGGGGTCGGTTGAGGAAATGTTTGCAAGCCTCTCATGTGGAAAGCAGCCAATGACTCGCTCACGGCCTCCGTTGGATGAACAGTCTCTAGTCCGTAAAAATGTTTACTTCCGAAAATGGCGTCGAAAATAATGAGTTTGCACTTCTTACTGGCTTGCGACGCTTTCCAGTACGGATGTAATTTAAACCAAGTTCGTCTTACAGTCTTACATCATCAAACATTTTTTTCAAGACTTCGTGCTCAATATTCACGGCTCTGTTTATTTCATTCCCCAAATACACAGCCTCAAAATCCTTGTTTAAAGGAGTCCCGTCATGGAGCAAGCATCGTTGTTCATGGCAACGGCTACATATGACTTGTTTGTGTTGAGTCCAAGGCCATATCCCTTGGAGATCTGTTCTGTAAGTCTCAGTAACTCATTCATCTTCCCCCTGGGAGTCGCTAGATGTAATTGCTTTGGTGAATGTGATCAACATCTATGATGCAAGTCATCACATATTATATATAGGAAGGGTTTTCATTCACGACGCTTGGGTTTTCATCTCGGAACAACCAAATTCGTCTCTGACAACAAACCTTGGCTTTTACATAGCAGTCAGCGACCGGTACAGTAGCGCTGTGGGGAATGTTTAGAGTCAATATTGTAGCAATCGCTTCAAAGTAAGAAAGGAAAACAAATGAGCCGTTCTAAGGTGTCAAAAAACATCAAAAAACTGTGCGCGGCTTACAGGCGAAAGAAAGACATGTAGCACCTCTTGAGAGTACTGCTGTGGAGATCGTTCTTCGTATGAATGATACTAACATAATAATCTATATAGATGTTTATATATATATATAATATCGTCATGGCCTCTTGGTGCAATATACATATATATATATATGTATTATATCGTCATGGCCTCTTGGTGCAACAAGTTGTTGGTTGGTCTCTTGATTCCTGCCTTTTTTACCAGGTGTTTCCCTGGCAGGGGGAACTCATTCTGGGAACGTGTCTCTCGGATGTTCCCCCTTCCATGCACTTCCAGCTCTAGGAATGCATGTTGCACCAAAAGAACCTGCTACCTCAGGTCTCCAAAAGCTCAAACTTCTCCGAGGCTTGGACACAAATCAGATATTGTAAAATGTTCAAATCCAAAGCGTCCAGTCAAGATTACCTGAGGCTTTACATCCGGGTTTTGAAACTCCTCTGAGGGACTGGTTCAATTTCTTTGTCATTTCGTCCATCCGGCGAACGGCATGCGATTCTGCGATCCTCATATCTCTGAAAGATGCTCCCAACAAGGGGGCACCACTTGCCACCCTCAAGTCTACTCAGCAACCAGCCTCAAACACCAAATCCTTCCTCCAAAACGATAAAAATCGGTAAAATGATATAAACAGTGTTATAAGTTATAAGATGCATCTGTCTTAGAGATCGAAAATACAAAGAGCCGCCTGGATCCACCTGGTACGACAGAAAATCGACACAAGTGTAGACTCGAGCCCATTGATTAGGGAGGTTCTCGTTCTGTATTCTTGACAGTTTTGACACCTCCCCATCCAGCTCATCCGTTTTCATCTTCTTCCTCCAGCCTGGTCCATGTTCCTCATCAACTGCTCCAAGTCTTTCCCTCGTGTCTTCAACAGCTCCACCTCAGCCCATCCCAGTCGTCCATCCATGACGCAGCCACCCACTCCGGTCTTCACCCCTTGGAAATCATTGTCAGTCTTCTTTGCTCTTGGATCCATCCGGATCCATCCGAATTCTTCATCACAGTTCTTCCTTCTTCAGGTGAGAAGCAACAAAATGAGAAGCAGCAAGGCGGTCGGTCTTCGGTGTCAAGAAGAACCTAAATGCGTGGGTCTCTTACAAAGACCTACCTCACCCTCCCTTCAGTTATAGACCCTTAAGGCACTACACCATTGGTGGATACTTCTGACAAATCTGGGTGCAAACAGCCCTAGACTCTCCGACAGCCCAGCTGGCCCAGCTGCGTGCTCCGAGTGCCGCTTGACATCCAGGTTCGCCCGATCGAGGGCCTGCAATGTTGGGATGGGATCGTGGATGGGTGTGTCTCGACATACGGAGCAACCCAAGATCTGATGTGATCTGGTAACAAATCTATATAATGTATAAATATATATATATACACCATGTATAGTTATATATATATATATCATATCATATTACTAGAGCATCACAAGACTGATACTTGTACTGTATATTTTTTTCTTAATGCTTCTGGATACAATACACCGTGAACTTCTGGGACCCTCGTTGACTAGCTAGCACTCCGAGAAAAAGAAATAACATCCGTCCAGAGTCCAAGTCCAAAACATTAAATATATATATATATATCTATCTTTAAAAAATCACATCACACTCTCTCTCTCTCTCTGCACTCTCTCCCCCCATTCCCACTTCAGCATCTCCCTCCCACTAAATCGACCGCCGGGACGCGCCCGCCACGCGCAAGTGTTTTGGCACGCCTCCTGTTGCTCCCGGAGCTGCTGACGGAGCTGCAGACGCTGATGACGGAGCTCTTGCAGTTCCATCCGCGCTGCCTTCCACCCCCCAGCCCACCCAGAAGCACAGGAAGAACCGCCGAAGCAACACGTTCGCACTGCACGTGGTGCATTAAAGAAGAAAAGAGAACAAGAAAACCGAGGAGATAGACTCAACTATATAGTGAAATAGAAAAGTAGATCCCCACGTAGAAAATGTATTGGAAAGCGTGCCACTATCTATTTGGGGACCACTCTAGACTCAACTAAAGATTGTCGCCTGACTTGTGGAATAGCTGGATTATCCTGGTGCACAAACCTGAACGTCTGCTCCCATTCTGTGCCGCTTCTGAGCGCAGCACCCCAATCTGCCGGGCCATTGCGACCACCTTCCCAGTGATCATGGCGGGTTATGGGCACTATTTGCAACCCTGAGGAAATCCCCGAAACGAATGAAGGCCCAATCCTCCATGCTCCAGATGAAAAGTATGGCACCAGGTGCCATGCTTCGGGCCTGATAGAACCCCAACAGCAACCAATTTTGGGATGTTCGCGGCCGAAGCGACTTGAGGCCTCGAGACCCTGATTTCACTCCATGTTGCAGATGCTTCGTGGAAGAGTTGCTTCAAAACAAAGGACAAGCATATCTCGCACACCCGTAATTAAAATATATAGCTCGCCACGCATAGTCATAGCACTTGAAACTTGAGACGTCCCTTTTTTACTTCAGGTGTGTTTGTTTGATTTTCAGGTGCGCCTCTTCTTTCACTCGGGCGGTTCATGGTCATGGTTCATCACATGAAACTGTCGATGATGTGATCAGAGTGTTTGAACACCACGTTCCCACGATCCAGACCAAGGTCAGTGTCGAACGTTGGCCAAGCGGGCCAAGCGGGCGCTGTGAATTCGCCCGTACTTGGGGTTTTGATTTTGACGAGTTTTGTATGGTTTTGTACCATCTCACACCCCTGTACCTGCCTGCACCTACCTGGTTCTTGAGGATTCCAATGTTGAATTCCGGATCTCATTGCCACCCATGTCCATCCTCCACCCCCCATATCCATTGCGGCAGCCTGAGGCTTGGAACCTGCAGCAAGGGCGCTGGACAAGCCCAAGGATCAAACATCAAACACCCTCTCCCGTGACGGTCAAACGCTCAAAGCGACCCGGCAACCCGACGCAACTGGCTCAGGCAGTAGGCGGAAACAGAATGAACTGTTGGTCGACATCAAGATCTGGCTGAAAACATGAAAACTCTCTCACAGACCTGACCACCCTACAAAAGGATACAAAAGGCACGTCCCATGTCTTCCCAGCAGCTGGCGCGGGGTTTTCCTCCCGGGTCATTCTGCGTGGGTCACGCCGGCCGTGGGCCACCCCCGCCGTCCACCGCCCTCGGTTCGCTGGGCGCCTGGGCCTTTCACCTCGGTGCCCCGTTCGGCTCACGTCGATGGTCCGGGCTGACGCTGTTTCAAACGCACCTCATTGAGGCTGTTTGAGCTTCCCAGGTATGGATGAGTGTGCTCCTCTATGTGGCACTTTTTTAGCGAAAGTGTGTTCGAGTAGACGGTCACGTTCGCTTTTGTCATCTTTTTTCTCTTGTCTGTTGCGCTACAGAGGTGCTGGCACTTCATGATGCTTCGACTTTCGGAAAAGGGAGCTTGTTGACCGCCAAATGAGCTGACACGGGGCTCTCCCCATTTCAACACTCCAATGCACACCCGAGTCACCTGGATCCCCCATCTGCCATGAAGACTTAAATGTTTTGACTCGGCCAGACTTCCAAGAGAGGTTAGGTGACCTCATAGAGGACCCTACTCGGGTACCTATTTGGATTAGTCTATAAGCTTCTTCAACCTCTGTTGCTTGCTTGGTCGAAAAAACTTCTGTAGATCTCGCGAGATTCCCAACTGCGTCACCCGACGTCCCTACTACTCGTCCCGTTGAAGACGTCGCTCGTCTCAGCGTCCCGACTCCCAGCTTCTGCTCTGCGCTGGTGAACCTCAAAAATGAATCCCAAAAAACATGATGCAAGTCGGGCATTGGAAGGCAGCTTGAATCAAAGCCCCAAAGAATTCGAAGCACCAGGGGGTCCTTGTTGAGATCTGAACATGCTGGTGCCCAAGGGTAGCTCCCGAGATTGTTGACCTGGTCCTGGCAGGCTCTGGTAGGCTGTGGCCAAGGTTCAAACAATCGCATGGTTCTGTTGAAAGACTGGATTCCAACTCCTGAAACCTCACCGCGTTTTCAACCAAAACCATTGTGACTGTTGGATAGAGAATACTCACTGAGACCCACTGGGCTCTTCCCACGCCGCATCCTTCTTCTTGGCCTCACGTTCCTGATTGCTGGCGCAACAAAGGCAGGAGCTTCCCGGCTTGGGAATCACAACATCCAAGTCGTGGAGAGCTTTGTTGGGCTGGTCTCAAATCCAGCTTTGCCTGGTCTAATGATGAAACAGCGCCAGGATCTGTCCAAACACAGAACAATCACAACTTCAGGATTGTCTCAAGCTCTGCTTGCAAACAAAAGGGACCAGGCTCTGATGAAACTGGCTATATCAGGCCATCCAGGCTGCCCGCCCTGCCAAAAGAACTGCCACCCACTCTACATCATCCCATCCGATCCCATCCCCAGGTGGCGCACCATGCGCTTCGCTTCCTTTTGCAGCTTCTGCAACTTCCGCTGCGAGGCCTCGCGGCTGCAGCATGGCAGCTTAGGGAAAACAATGCTTTTGGACGGGGAGGTGCTGCTTTACCCTAGAAAAGTGGTCTGGTCTGATGCCAGAAATGAAGGGAGATCGCCATCATCAAATCCCTCAAAAGAAATCCAGTTGATTCACCAACTCCGCTCAAACCTGCCGCAAAAAACCAAGAAGTGTAGTGATCGGTTTAACACAAAAATCGACCAAAAAAAAGCAACTCGAAAAGTCCATCCCCTCTTTCAGTGTCCCCACCTTCACCCGGTGTCCCACGCCAGCACGCAGCACCTGCTCTCCATCCCTGTCACCCCTGGGCGGCAGCACCACCACTTCACGGCTCTCGCTCAGCAGCTGCTCGTTGGAGCTGCGGCCCAAGCGTTGCCTCGGAGGCGTTAGGTGATTCAGCAGCTTCTGTCGAAGCTGAGACGTGATGACATCTGGAAGAATTCTATCGCATGATAACCCCATGAATCTACTATATATAGACCCCCAAATAGATGGAAAAGTAGATCCCCACTAAAAATGTATTTGGGGACCACTGTAAATAGGATCAAATAGGGATGTGTTCGGAATTGGAATGGTACAACCCCTGAAGCCAGCAACGCCATCTAAAAATAATGGCCTTGTGACGGTTCTCAGTTCTCGTTCTAGTCTATGCCCCGGAGACATATATAGACATGTGGCACGGTGACACCAATATTGACATGTTTTCATATGTTTCCAACTGATTGGGTGTTGAGTCTTCTACAGAGTAGATGTTCAAAGGACATCTTGGGGTCTGTGCCATCTACTCTGAAACCACTGTAAAAGAAGCAGAAGAGTCCCCTTCTCCTGAGACTCCAACTCCTCCTCGATCTTTGCCTTTACCTGCGCCTGGCCGCGTGAGACAGAGGAGATGAAGGTGGAGAAGCTGATGATGCAAAGCCCAAATCGAAGCGAGGCCCGGTGTACCAGCTCTGCCTTCATGGCTGCAATCTCCTCCACCTGGCCACCAGCATCTCGCTCGTTGGCTGAGAAGATGTTGGAAGGCTTGCAACTGCTTCAGAAGGTTCACGGAACCTTTACAAGGGTCCATCGAAAGGCGGATTCAATCCGGATTCTCCCCATCGAATCGCGTCAGCGAACCTCTTCGGTTCGGTGCGTGCGAACAGCGAGCTGTGAACATGTTCGCTGCCCGAGAAGCTGGCTTCTGCCCCTGGACGTGTGGTGGACGTGTGTCCATGGGTCCGATCTGCAAAACGCCAGCGGTGCGGAGCGCATCTGGAGGAAGGACACCGGCCTGATGGGCCAGGGACAGGACCGAAGCTGCTGGAGGACTGGAGGATACTGATACCAGCACCCTCCAACGTGCTTCCTGGCGACAACAGGTGCCCAGAAACCACCTGTTAGGGTCTGCAAACAGAGTGTTGGAGGGTGCAGGTACGCTTGGATGATAGTGAAGATGTGGTTTGCTTGTGGGTCATGGCACCCGGAGCCCTCAAAACCCTGCTAGGTTCACCTCCCCAGTGGTCTATGCTGTTCATTCTGTCGTCAACCTGTGCGACCCGTCATGTGGACTCCCCCATCCCCGACCTTCCAGGACCTTCCCGACCTCTGGGAGAACTCATTCTGGGTCACTGGGAAGGTCCTGGTATCAATGTTCCAAGGAAAAAGGAACGGAACCTGCCATGCAGCGATTCTCGGTCTCACACCCATCAACCTGAAAACCGACAGAAAACCCCCGCCAAGTGAGTGAAAAATCGCTTCCCCACAGGTTCCCCACAGGTTCCACCCAACTGCTGGTCAGTCAATCACCCCAGTCATGCCACGATTGGTCAATCATGGTCAGTCCTTCAAGCCATTCAACCGCAACCCCACGCGTCCTTCGGACGCACCATCGGACCGCGTCAGCACGAACACCGAGTGAACTCTGGGGCGCCGCAGCCGTTCGGTAGGTATCACAGCACCAGTCAAGTAGGGCTCCTCGGTGGGGTAAGGTGTTTCAGCCATCGGCATGTGCGCCTGCTCCCTCAATCACCCATTAGGCAGTTGACCAGGGGCAGGTGGAATCCTTTCTTGCAAAAAAGAGTTGGTACAGCCACCAAGGTAAAAGCAACACCTGTGTGTCTGTGGTTTCTTTCCGCTAGAAGTGACCAAGTGACCAAATCCACCCATCCCACCCCTTTCCCACATGCTCTCCAAAGGAATCTTGCCTCCTCTGCTTTCCGCCTCCTTGCCATCTCCTGCAAATCAGAAACAAATCATCTCTCTCGTGGCGAGGGGCCAACAAAGGGTCGACATCTACAAGGGAGTCAAACTGAATGCAAGGTGAACACACCCAGGTTTTGCTTTTGAGACTTGTTGAAACGCATGTGTGCACTGTCCCTGGCCGTGGGCACAGTACAATCATGTCCTTTAAGAAAATAATTGGTCGATTTGGTGCCATATATCATATATATTTGTACCTGTTAGCCTATTGGTGGTACACTTGGGGGGATCTCCTTTACTCATCAACCAAGCAAGCACAGGAGCTCAAAGGCATGCCTTTGGCCATCTACCAGGACCACAGCGTCAGGGTGCTTGAGTGTCCATGGACCCTGACACCTCTCAGGCGCTATGAATAGCCACCCCTTAAGGCTTAGGGATCGTAGGGGGGTCCTCCTATGGGCCCAGTCTGCGAACGGTCCGTGCCTCCGCCCCCCTTGAATTCGCTGGCGGCTCCTGCATCAGTTGCTGCTCCAAGTCCTTCGCGTGAGCCTCGGTGCTCACCACCGGTGGAGTTCCATCAACCAGGTGAGGAGGACATGGGCTTTGACCATGGTTCACCCATGGTTCTTTTTGGGGCGGACCAAAACCCAAGCCCTCGCATTTTGGAGTATGCAGCTGTTTGTTGGGGACTCGCTCACATGGCACATGTCCTTTGAGGAACCTGTTGTTTACCATTGCGTTTAGAATTTAGAAAGAGCTGTGTGGGGGGGGGCGGGGGTGTGTGATCACCTCTAGTTCCTGGGCGGTTCTCGGAGGGCCCAGTCACTCCCCCGACCGCACCGAATGCGAAATCCACATTTCGACTGACTGACCGCGTGAAGCGCGTGAAGAGCTTAAAGTTTATCTAAGAAGTTATGAACATACCTTTCGAGCATACCCCATACCCAAAATCATCATGTTTCATATATTTTGGTGGTATAAGAATGAAGGGTTTCTTATTATGTGGGTATAGCTCGAAAGATATGTTCAACCAGTGGTGCAGCAACGATGGTTAGGACAAAACAGTAAACATATGAGTGGGTCTTGTAGCCCATTGCCAGGAACAGTCATTAAAAGATGATATTTGAGATGATATTTGCCAGGCAACCTATGTAATCATCATCCACTGGGCCCTGATAATGGGATATACTCGACATATTGGGGTGGTGTATTCAAGCCAACAGGAAGACGCCCATATGAGCGATAGAATTTATGTCCGTTAAACTATCACATGGACCTTCCTTACCTCGTTCTCCAATCCCGCATCGTTTTTGGTGTGTGATCTCGTTCTCCATTCCTGTATCTCGTTTTGGTGTGTGGATACCCATCTCGTTCTCGAGAGGTGTTCCTACCTCGTTTCACAAGCTAAACATGTCATTAACCAAACCCTTTCAAACAAATGGCGCATTTGATGCCCATCTCGTTCTCGGGGTGTTCCTACCTCGTTTCGCCAACTAAATCTGACATTGGGCTATAGAAAAGGAACGCCCCTAGACTAATCTTCACTACCGCAAATAAAAGCCGTTGCTCATATGTGCTGGCCCTGGCTACCGACCGGAGGAGACCCATCGATTGAGCACATCCAATCTCAGACCAGGAGTCACAGGAGTCACAGGCACAGGGGTTTTCAGACCCTGTGACAGGGGAGTTCATTTCAGCATACAGTGAAACGCCGGTTTTTGGTAGTGCATCTGCGAAGACGAACTCCATCTTAGATTTCCTTTCACCAGCATCTCTCAACCTGCCATCCTCTCTGAAAATTTGGATGTGGCTCCCAAGACATATCAAGAAATCAAACTCCCTCACTCTTCCCCTAGGATCCAAAAGTCTTAATTCCTCCAGTATGTCTTCTTGTCAGGCCTTCCTATGTCTTCTTATGGGAGAGGGTCTTCCTAAGGGACCGTCCTTGCCGTCCTCTCCACCTCGGTCGCGGTCGCCTCGGAGACGTCCAATGCGCCGGTCTTCTCAGCGGCCTCCTCCTCGGCCAGCGAGAGCCTCGGCACGGGAGCCCCGAACTCTCCACCCGGATCTCGACATATTCCTCTAGGAGCCTCGATCGGAGCCTGCTCTAGGCCCAGATGTGAGTGAGACTTGGCATTTGGAGAGTCACTTTGGCATTTGGAGATTCAGAGAAACTTGGTATGTTGCTTGGCATGGAAGGTCCGTAGAAAATCGCAACCTTGTTTTTTTTCGTGACGCTGGTGAGGGCCCGTCAACCACTTGGGACGAACAATTTCCAAGAGGTTGACTCGCCAGAGATGAACATCTGGAGTGATGAAACATGGAGCCATATTTAATACTTAACATATTAAACATACTTGTGGACACTTGTGGAACATTCAAATGAACATCCTAGAGGCGTCCTGCTGAGTACGTAGTGTTCCAATCTTGTGAATACTCATCACCCAACAAGGTTTCATCATCAGCCTCCTCGACCAGCTGAGCCTGCCGGCTTTTCTTCCAGGCTGGCCAGTGCTGCCTGGGGCTTTCAGCCAACATTCAAGCCAGCCTTCAACTGACCCGTATGGGCCAATGGGAAATCAAATGAACGAGCCAATTCGTTGTGATGCTTGGGGTCAGGTCGTTCGTGTTCGTTGCCGGCGATCAGGTCTCCTTCACAGTACAGGACCGGACCAGCCCCACCTTGGTCTCTGCGGTCTGCAAAAGCGCCATCTTCTTCATGGTGTTCCTCGGCAGCACGAAGAACGGGCACACACACACACACCTTCTTCCAATGGGAATATCCGTCACACCTGGTGTTAAGCAATATCAAGATTATAATTGATAGTTTATAAGTATACTAAGTACTACATACTAAGTACTACAGTACTGTAACGATCACTGACAATGAATCAATAAGACCGTGCTGGTGCCATCCGGTTTTCCATGACTTTTTTACAGCACCATCACCGTCTTCCGCTGTCCCGGTCCCGTGGCTCGAGGGCCCGGGTCCACGCGAGCTCCAGAGGTTCCAAGAGAGGTTGAGAGGCCCGAACTAGGACCCGTAGTGGTACTGTACATATGGGATGGGCGCCCTGGGCGGCTGTTGAACCTCTCTTGCTGAGAAAATCGCACTGGCATCCCAAACATGTCTTTTATATGGGGGGTCCTCATAAACTGGTGCCATCGAACCGCTGAAACCACCGTATGACCGTATGATACCGTATGTGTCTTATGTTGATATTGCACTAGGTGGTGGAACTCTTCCGCCAGCTTCTTCCATTTGCTTAGGTCATCTAGGATGCGCGTCACTCCTTCACATTCCTGTCACACTCTACCTTGGTGCCCCGGCAACTTGGCCTCCAGGTCTGCCACGGTGCGAGACATCTGCGAGGTCGCCTGCTGCGGAGGCATCGGCGGAGGGCCCTTCTGTCAGCTTAGAAGGCTCGACCGGAGGCCAAAAATGCCTCGACATCCTGGACTCGGCTTTTCTGTCTGGCGGTCCTGCGAGCCATTCGTTTTCCTCCGAGCCAAACACCCTCTGTGGGGTTGGTTGGTCCTTGGCACACCCATTCTGCCGGTCGTGGAGGTCAGCGGACGGTGGTGGCAATGAGGCCGGCGGTGTTTCGGACCTTCCCTTCCCCTTCCCTTGCACCTTCCTCACTGGTCGGACGGTGAGACCAACCAGGGGTGGAGAGGCTTCGGTACCTCGAACAATTCCATACCTCAGTGATCCCTATGAGCCATTGGCCCAACCAAAACCGGTGTCTTTCAGCCCTTGGAGTCCAAAGCCACCCTTTTTCGCACCCTCTTGCTCTGGACATGCCTCCGAGATCCTTGACCGTGGTGCTTGGTTTTGGATCAGCGCCGGCTTCGTTCCGCACCCCAGGCCAACGCCTCCACAGCCTCCTTCTGAGAGAAGTCCTCCAGGGATGAACCCAACGGGGTCGTCGTGGATGCGCCGGGTCGATGTGGCGGGTCGAATGCGGTCGTCGTGGGATGCGGGCGGGTCCGGTGGAGATAGGGTCGTTTCACTTGAAAGGCAGAGTGACCGGGTTCACCAGCTTGGAGGAGGAGCACCCGGCTCTGAAGGGACTTGAGTGGCTAAAGTGAGGACTTCGCCTGTGGAATTGTCCGAGATCATCATCTACAGTCTTCCACTACACTACTTGCACCCCCAAAACTCCCCTTTGAACCTTGAAGATGGACCATATTAGATCTGGCTGACTCACCCTTGGCATCATGAAAAGGATGGATCAACGAAGGGAACCTGTGCGCACATTCCGGTGTGAGCAGTTGGGAGCACTCTCAGGTGGCCAGTGCTCTTCATGCCTCACGAAGAAAGCCTTCCATCGCTCCTCCTTCAGCGACTTCTCGGAAGTGTCATCCTGGCATTTCTGGCGGCTTCTCGGTCCCAGCACACATCAACGAAACGTCCGACGGGCCCTGCTTTTGGAGTGGGTTCCACATCCCTCAGATGCAAGCTGAACTCATTGTATCCAAAATCTTCAAACATCTCCCACCACCCTGGGAGTCCAAAACTCTCCCACCCTCCAACAGGTCTCCGTTGGAGGGTTGGGAAGGGCTCTAGCAGGTTTCAATTGGTGACCTGTATACGGTCGGCTCCTGGTGTTCCATCGGTCATGGTAGATCGGAGCACCTGATGTTCGGGACCTTCCGGGTGACCACCGTACTCTCAGCTCGAGCAGGCCGCACCTCCACGGCCTGGAGCACATCCTTCAAGGCCGACGCCCCGGGCGCGCCTCGTATAGAGCCGCGCGCTCCCCAAAGCACCGACTGGGAGACTGGATTCCCACCTTGTATATGTCATTAGTGTTATATAGTTTATGTTTAGTAGATCTTCATCCTTAGTTAGATGTCTAACTGGTGACATGGCAGTGCCTCGAACTGCTGGACTCTCCCAACCCAGACTGCAGAGTGGGAGACCCCTGGGCCCCACCACCACGGTGCTGAGCACCTGCTACGTTCAGTGCGGCCTGGGCGTTCAGTGCGGGCTGGACGTCCTTCTTCGCCACACAGAACTTATGATCAAGCCAAGGATGAGGGAGTTACTGGCTGAATGTATCCTCTGAGTGTGTGGATGGTGGATGAAATCCCACTTAAACAGGCAGTCACCAGCGAGGAAGTGGAATATAGACTGTTGCAAGGGCCGGCTGTACCCATCTGCATCAAGATACACCGTGGAAAATTAATATGGAACCTGAAAACCACTGGGTTGTAGAGGAAATAGTCTTCCAGTCTGGTCCATTTTCGGGTTCCATGTCAGTCTTCCCGGGTCCCCCGGGTGTAGTTTCCCTCAAAATATCACAAAGGTAAAAGCCATGCTGATGCCACCTCTCAGCCGGAATTGCGCCAAGTCCTGGCCGACGGCTGCGCATTGAAAGGGTGGCCAGTTCACGCCATTTGCACAAGGTCCAAACGCGGCGCTCTTTGGGAACTTGTTAATGGTGCGAATTGCTCCTCCTCATGGCTTCTGAGACTTGGCTGTGGGTCAAAACTGCAACATTGTAGGTTGACCACCAAGAATGAACAGAATAGACTACCTGGGAGGTTAACCTAGCCTGGTGAAAGGAGCTCCGGGTTTTGTCCCACAGCCAAATGCTGTTTTACAAAGCTTTGTCCCTCCCAGACCCTGGTCGCCCCTGCTTCGAAGCAGCACAGAGCGCGCTTAGAAAAAGCGCCCAGAGCCGAAGGCACACCATGGCGCCGGTCCGGTCGCCCCGGTCGCACACGGTCTGAGCCCAGGACCAATGAACCATCTTTGCCCCCTTGATATGTCCTACCCGTTGTGGGCGTCCTTTGTGACCACTATGCCGGCGTTCAGGGGGCTTTTGGAAGAGACATCCACTCCAAAGTCTCCAAAAATTACCCTGGTGGCCACATTCCAAGTCTGTGACATTGGCACCAAGAGTTCAGAGGGGCACCAAGAGTTTGGAGGAGCGCATAGATGCATAGACCTCATCATCTAGACTCTTGACTATATGTCTCAACAGGCCTGTTTTGAGGCCTTGGCAATCCAAATGCGGGGGATCCTTCATATAAGAAACTACATTAGACCACCGAAATCGGGACATCCTGTCACTGCAATCGCCGCATCGTTCCTTTTCCACTCCCCCGAACGTCGTCGCGTGGGAACACGCGCGACGGAACACTCCGTCGCCAACGGCACGGGGTCCTCAGCACGTCCAACTGCAACTGGGAATACTTATATATTTTGGTTACAGTAGTTTCAGAATAATTAGATGGAACAATCCCCAAGTTTGGTGTTTTATATGGACCCCCCATCTAAAAATCCTCTTGGGTGGTTGTGCCATATATTCTGCAATTGGTTGATATGATGGCGGGTCCAAACCGAGGGACCTTGGTTGACCACAGAAAAGGAAGAGACTCAACGAGACTCAGGAGGTCAGACCCAGGAGGTTTAGGGCTTCCAGGTTCGACTCACGGGTCAGACCCATAGAGTTCTCACACATGGGTTTTGGATGAAGTTCCCTTCGCCAGATGTTACAGCCCCCCTATGAGGCGGCCCTCTCCCCATTCCCAAGACACATCCTACGAGAAATGAACAAATTCCTCAGAAAATTGGCTGGCAGGAATGAGAACCAACAAGTCCGGAGCCGGGAGACGTCATTCAGTCCATCCTCATACCACTCAGGTGCGTCTTCATGTGGACATTTGATGAGTAAAACCAAACCCCCGATATGGATATGATATTATCAAATAATTACTGTAATTAAAGTTATATAAAACTACAAAAACCCTTCTGGTGGGGGGTTGTTTCATCAACAGTCAACGTTCGACGGTGTAGGTTGTCGTTCTCTGCAACTTCGTCTTTGAGGAAGGTCTTCTCGCGCGCTCCCGTGACACAGGCACATGGAATGTCTGCAATTGTACGGCGGCCTTTTGCTGCCAAACCTTTGCCCGTCACTTGACGGGCTGCTGGTGCTGCAGGCGAGAAGCCAGGCAACTTGGGCATTCTGTGAAGCAGTGTGGCCTTGGGGGCCTTAAGTCGTACCCTGCAAGCCGTTCATCCTCGGGTCTGCTCGGACATCCCACAAAAAGCATCAAAAAGCCATGACTGTGAACGAATCCCCCTGTTCATCACTGTTTCAATATCAACCCTTTCCACGATGCCCACATCCACGGCAGCTGCAGCCCAACCCCACAGAAGGAGCTCAGGAGATTCACTCAGTCTTCTGCTTCTTGGCTGACGGCTCCTCAGCCTCCGCCTGCGAAGTAAAAAGGCTGAAATCCTTCCACTGGGGCACCGAGCTATTCTGAGATCTGTGCTTTTGGCTCGAAGCCGGGTTGTTTAGTCGTACCTCCTAGGACTTCAGACTGACGTCCAGTTATGAAGGAACCTGCTTCAAGCAAGAAGTTTGATGCGGAAGGTATGGATTCCTCCCACCGTTTCTCTGCCTCCTCACCAGCAACTAGTGCCATGTAGTGTTCTCCTAGCACCCATGGATCCAATTCCCCCCTAAGGGGCGGTTTGCACCGACCCAGCGTAGCCCCAACCTTTCAGCTTTCATTCCCCGGCGCACGAGTCGCTCGACCGGTCCCGCCTCCTCATCCTGCGCGGTTCGACGCGGGCGATGGCGGTGGCGGTTCTGGGTGGGGCGTCGTGGAGGTCGTGGCGACATGTCGGGCTTGTCCGGGTTGGAGGAAGGACCAACGGCACGAGCAGCGCACCCATGCGGCACCCAGAATTACATCTCGCTATTCACGATTCACAGGCTGTAGATCCCGGATGAAGCAGAAACCAAGAGACCTCTTCAGAGTGAAAGATCGATCCTCTTGGATGAACAGAGTCGATCGGCCCCTTTACATACCTGGTCAAACTCTGCCACCCGCAATCTTCCAGCATTCATCTGCAACTCTTCTTCTTTTTATTGTTATTGTTCTTTTTCTTCTTCTTCTGCTTCTTCTTCTTCTTCTTCTTCGTATGCCACGACTTTCCAAAAAGGTTCAAGCGACTATCCAACAGCAAACGAAGAACTCCCCTGAATTTCATAACTGGATGTTCACTTGCAACAGGCAAATGCTCGACACACAAAAAAAAACTACAGTAATCTTGTTCAAAAAAAAAGTAAAAATCTGACAAACCAAAGGCGCTAGCCCACGCCACTGAGACGACCTTTCCGTTCGACCATCCAAGTGTTCAGAAGTGTGAAAGAAGAAGCTTACCAGCAAGAAAACCCAACGATCGTCTTTTTGACCATGTTTTTTTGTCACGTCTCATGGCAGTATGCTCCCATGCAGCGACCAAGTCCCCAAATGCCTCCACAACATCAACATCACCACAAGTATCAATCATGCCTTCAAGTGTCTACTGTTCAGTTATTGTTCCCAAAATGAATGCAGTTGCTGCTTGAGCATCACAGAGTCAGCACGAAACGTGCAAAGCAAATGGTTTCCCTTGCCAACCTACGACCCATGGCAATGCCTTCCAATGCCTCACCTCCTCCCTTCGGTGCTAAGCCTCGGTGACCCTCCAACCCTCCCATCAACTGGCCCAACACCACCCCTCGGGCCACCCGGAGACGTCGTCCAGCCTCTTCAGCCGACTCTTCTTCATCGGCTTCCAGGAAACCCTGGGCGCTGAGGTCGGCGCGCTGAGGCCGTCCCCAGGTCGAGGGGCCTACGGCCTTATGGTCTGAGGTCGTATGAAACGAATCGATTTGAGAGAACGAAGTCCGCCGGGGTAGTGGGGTGTGGGGCTGTTGGGTTTTGTATGAAGTTCCCCGGCTCTGGCAGCATTTTGGGTATTATGACAGGCCTTGATCCCGATCTGACCCCATCTTGGAACTCCAGACCTGTGTCACATCCTACAAACTCCAGGAATGTAAAAAGTCATCACCACCTCAGAGACCTGACCACACCGTGCCAGACCACCTTCTCGGAGGGTGCTCGTTTCAGTGCCCCACGACCGAACCGAAGAACTCCACCGAACCCGTCCGACCGAACGCGGCCGAGCCGGAAGAACGAGCGTTCTGATTGGGGCGCGGTGTCGATCAACCAAAGAAGCCACCCGGCCACGGTTTCTGATTGGGGGCGGTTCTGATTGGGTTTGTTTGAGGTGCATTTGTTCGAGTCAAACAAAATGGGCGACCAAGGTCCATCCTTCCTTTGTCTAGGAAAAACAGGCCACCCGGCACCGGATCAATCAAGCAGCTGGATCAGTTCTTCAAGCCACCTTCTCTGATCAAGCAGCTTTTCTCAATTCAATCAAATCTTCTAGAAAAGCACAGAAACGCCACCTTCTCTGATATCAGCAACTGGAAGTTCTTCAATATTATTAATAGCAGCTAGACACTTGTGAAACAATTCACCGTCACCGTGGTTGGGAAACCCCCCATCCAACGATCGCTGCCGCGCACCGCGACTCACTCACTCAGTCGGACCGGTGCCTCGTCGTCCTCCTCCATCATGTCTTCTTCCATGTCCTGGCAACAAGGATGCCATTAGGTGGAGGCCATCGCTACTAAGGTGGAGGCCATCGCTACGAGTAACAAAGCAGCTACGTCGTAACAGAAGCGAATCCTCGGCCAGAGGCCACGACATCTCGTGGCCCCGAGACGTTGCGTGCCAGGCAGCCGCTCGGCTCTGAATTTGCTACGCAGGACCAAGGCTCTGCTCACGGTTCAGCAGAAGCCACTTTCACTCGCCAGGCTACAGATATTGATGATCTAAATTGGCGTGTTCATGCCATGTTCCAAAAAAATCGGGCCGCTTCGCCTTCCAAAGGGAAGTCACGTGCCGCCAGCATCCTGTCTGGGTGTGGGATCTCCCAGGCCACGTCTCTCTCCGGGATGCTCTACATGGCAGGACACCCACAAGGTCGGATGCTCCACCTCCAACCATCGAATTCGCAGCATTCGCCCGAGGGCCAAGCTGCTGAGGCAGAAGCCGTGGAACACGGTGCACCCCCCATATGGGGGGGTCAGTGTCAGAAAGGAAGTCATAGCACCTATGTCGCAGTCCCTTAAAAGTTATATATATATATATATAGAGATTTATATAGTATCCGCCGACCCCGCCGTTGCAAGGGGGAGCGCGCCAGGGATTACGGGTAGCTGTTTGGGGGCTCATGGTAGCTGTTTGGGGGCTCATGGGGGTAGCTAAGTTTGAAGAATCGAGGTTTTTTGGGGGTCAGAACTGGCGCCGTTTGCTAAGCTTCAAACCTTTCCCGGGACCCCTGGCGACATTTTGGTTCCGGAAGCGAGACAAATGGAAACAAACTTCTTGTTTTCTAGGGATTCAGAGGCAGCGTTTGGCAGCGAAAGTGCAACCAGGGGAGGTTCGACCAGAACTAGGCCAGGATGCGCGTGCAGCGTTTGGCACCGAAAGTGCGACCATGAGAGGCTCGTTTTGGACAAGAATTAGATGGGGAAACGTCGTGGCGGCGGCAGGTGTTCGGGGCCAGGATGGGCGCAAGAAAGGAAAGCAAAGTCTTTTT